TTTTGCTTTGTGCACTTAATGAATGATTCACAAAATTAGTATTAATTTGTAAAAATGAGCTTTTTATTCTCATTATTTGTTAGCAACAAGCTCTCCTTTTGAAAATATTTTGTTAAATGGAGTGTTTTGTGTTTTAATCAATCAAACTTTGATGCTCTTTTTGGCTCTTTTGCCCTCGTGAATTTGTGTCAATAGTACATAGTACACAACTAATGTGGGCTCGTAACTTTCTTTCTACAAGTTTTTTTTATTGTATGGGAAGGCTTAATGAACCTACGACCTCTGTTATTACTACACATGACATTACATACATATTTACATAGTCTTTTCATTCTTTTGAATGAATTACATACATACTTCGTAAATTCATTGACTGCTGTATGTTTTAACTTGGGTAACTAAAATGACCACATAGATTTACATATTTTACCTGTTGAGGTGAGGCAGGGTCTACTCATGAATGCCAAAATTCAAAGCTGTTAAGTTGAATTTTCTAAACATTTTAGATTCATCTCTTCATCATCATGATGTAGGTAATTATTTTTATTACACTGAAAGCTGAAGTTGTCTAAAAACGAGTCTAAAAAACCGGGACCACTCAATGTAATGTCTCTGTTTATTAGGTTTGTTGTTGTTTACTGTTTGTATTGTTATGTACTTCTGGTTGCATAACTGGAGCATGTTCTCAAGGAATAAACATAGTGGAAATATATGGTGAAAATAGGGTTGTTAGATGTTTATAAACCAGAGGTAGGCGTAGGTACATAATGATATAGGATGGGGCAGGGGGTAAATCAGTGAGAGATGGTGTCACATTCCCTGCAACTTGCTCTGTTACTGGATTTTGAATTGACCAATCCATGCCTTTATTAAAATTATTATGCTCAAACGGATTTTTTAACTAAATCTGGATTGTGGTAATTTTGGAGTAACTCTGAAAATGTTATAGCAAGAGTAGTAAAAGCGTCAACTTGAGTATATTTTATAGTTGATATTGTCTGTGTGTCTGTCTGTCCATCAGTCTCTCTTTCCATTTGTTGCGATCTATGAGCTAATGGATGTTCGAGATACTTTCAGAATTTTGTTCACATTTGGTCTGTTGGTCATTATTACAGAAAATTGCGGTTTCTTTATTTAAAAGGTGTTACCGAGGGTGTTACTATGTAATGTGGACAAAAAGAAAGCCTTCATTCAATTCTAAGCAAGAATAGAATTAGAAATTCGGAAATCCAGTTGTAGTGATGTATTGTAAACTCTGCTACATCGCAACAGTGTTCATTAATGTTACAGTGTGTCCAGCGAAATCCCTTCATCATTATTTAGTGAAGTTGATTCTTCAGGATTACTCGAGGGATTACTGTGATGTAATCATGTTAGGCATCAGGTTATTGAGACATTCAACAAAGTAAAATGTTTCAAATAAACAGCCTGTATATTTGTGCATATTTTGAAAGAAAAAATGCTGAATACACTCTTAAATAGCAGACATACAAATCATTAAAACCATTCAATCGAAATTACCATATGCTTCATGAAAAACACACAATTTAATATAAGTACGAATCAATTCCAACTCACACAGAAGGTGACAGAACGGGGCGGTAGACTCGTGCGCCACCCAGGGAATGCGGACTTGTCCCTGGAGAAGAATTTGGAACGGTTGCAACAGATAACTCGTCAGAGAAACGGTCTCCAGAGATCTTGTGGTTAGCGGAGGTCGGCTTTTGGCGCATGATTTAAAAACAGAATTACGGCAGCAAATTTTTTAAGCGGAACTGAAGCACAAATTAATTAACGATATATACTAGGAAACAAAATGCAGGAAAACAGAACACAACCACCGTATAATTAACGGAAGAAATATAGCAAACGCTTACCTTTAGATTTAATGGAACGATGATAAATCATATCTCAAAACGTATGCCAATACAGTGAAAATTGCCAAAGGACGTTATATGAACTTCCCAAATTTCCCTCCTGACTGGGCACGGGAAGTTTCTCCCCTGACTGGGCAATGGAAGCACCGCTCATCACTATACAGGGTGATTCCTATAGTACCTGCCACCGTTTGGGAGCGTGTAGGTGGTGCGTAGGGGAGTATTTTGATATAGGACACTTGGGGTCGGAAATCTAAATTAAGGGTGCCAGAGCCAAATTTACCTTCTGGAATTTCGCGCCTGTAGGTAGGCAACCCAACCGGCCGGCGGTGCACACGGAGCGATCTCAGGCGGCGATGTGTGGCTGACACTTGATCAGAATTTGTTTAAACCCACGAAATCCCGTCTGCAACGAC